TGGGCTTTTGCTGATCGCTTGTGCACTCGTCTTGCTGCTACGTGCGCTCGCTTGATGGGATGAGGGATGGGGGATAAACCCAAAACCCTAAATCCCTAAACCCTAAATCCTTAAACCCTAAAACCCTAAATCCCTAAATCCCTAAATCCCTAAACCCTAAATCCCTAAATCCCTAAATCCCTAAATCCCTAAACCCGAAATCCCTAAAACCCTAAATCCCTAAAACCCTTATAAACACCTTGTGTCCAGCTCCGTCAGTCAGGGTGCCACGGCTTTCGTTTCCATTCGCTCAGAGATGGTTGCGCAGCGGCTTTGGCTCGAGGGTTTAGGGTTTAGGGTGTAGGGATTTAGGGTTGAGGGTTTAGGGTCAATGACACAAGCCCTGTCAGCTACGGCCTAAAGTTAAGTTGGGAGGACCTATAAGGGGATGTATAGGGGGGTTTAGCGGGGATCTTCAAGGAATATACTACAACTTTCGTCCAGGGCTCAGGTGTTTCTTGTGGCAATTTCCATAGATACGGACACGCCTATAGACCCCCAAATACTATAATCATTAATATTGGGACCCGCAAAATGGTATTCCTAATTTTGGGAAAGTTTCTTGTGCATTCCGAAGCGGGGTGAAGCTTGGGAACGGTAATACTGGTGAGGTATAACCATGCAGCACCGGCAGCGCTCAGAGACATGTTGTCTTGCACCAGAACACAGGCTTGAAGCATACTTGCGCTGTCAAGGAACTAGTTCCACGGGCAGTCTTGTTTGCTGTGAGGGCATGTGGCTCAGGAAGTTCGCCAATATCCAGCCACATCGCAAGGACGTGGTCGCACTGACTCGCGTCAACAGCCATGTTAGTCGATGCAGGCTTGCAAAAACTTACAGCCACTGCTAGCTTGCGCCGCCTAAACTCAATTTGAGAAGATGACAATCTCGTGAGCTCCCAGAGCAGCCAAGGATTTGGTTGGCACAGACCTTTGCACTGGTGGACTACATAGCCTCCTGTCAGGGAAGGTATTTGGCTTTCCATCTTTTCAATGCACTCTGCAAATGGGGGTTTCCCAAAATTATGGGTACCTCTTGGGGGGTCCCCATAATAAGGACTATAGTATTTTGGGGTCTATATTGGGGTCCCTCTATTTTGGGAAACTACCAAATATCTCGGCTGCATCAGAGGCCTTGTGCTCAGGTTTCAGCGGCTGCTGGCTACGTCGCATTCTGCGGGGCAGCTCCCGACAATGTTCTCGACGGTTGCTGGCCCAGATAAGGTTTAGGGTTTAGGGTTTAGGATTTAGGGTTTAGGGCTTAGGATTTAGAATCCCCCTTAAGTAGATATTGCCCCAATAATGGAGAATCAAATGGAAAAGAAAATGGAAACTGAAATGGAAACTAGGGGATATATGGAGATTATTAAGGTTCAGGGTTTAGGCTTTATAGTCCCCTTAAGTAGATAGAATACGGCTTTGGGTATATTATAATAAGATCCCCATATACCCCATATTCTATCTACTTAAGGGGGACTATAAGGTTTAGGATTTACGGCTTAGGGTCTAGGAGAGATGCATGGCCCAGTGGGCACAATGAGCACAGGACCTGTATGCAAACCAATTTCCATGTCATTGTCCGTTTGGTAGTTTCCCAAAATAAGGGGACCCCAACATAGACCCCAAAATGCTATTATCCTTATTCTTCGGACCCCGAAAAAGGTACCCCTAATTTTGGGAAACTCCCATTTCATCCTCCATTATTCACCAAACTCGAAGCTCTCAAGAGACCATGCTGACCAGTGCTGTCAGACCAGCTTACTGGGTCTTAGTAGGGACTACTACAACCCTATTATGATGTAGTAGGTCTCGTTTCCTTTCCATCATCCCTATATAATCTCTGCAGAACTGCTTCCCTTATTCCTGTTACTAACCCCAGTAATCCAGGCTTCCCGACTAGCCACGCGCCGAGTCTTGTGGCGCGCATGGCTTTGGCTTTGCAGCTGGCGGCTGCCTGTGCAGGCGGAAATAGTGGGAAAGCTACTTGGAGGGTCATGGGGACTGAGTAAGTAGGGTAGTAACCCCGAAAACCCATATACTAACCCCAATTATCCCCATTATTAGTACCCCAGTTACTAAGTCCCCCTGACCCTCCAAGTAGGGTTTAGGATGACCCGCCTGGACATGAACACTAGTCTGGTTACGGATTATATAGGGATGATGGAAAATGATGTGGAAACTACTACTATAGTATATTGGGGTTATATATAGGGATATCGGAAATAACATGGAAACTACTACTATAGATGATGGTTTATCTGCAGCAGGTGATGCGATATTAACTTAACTGCATGCCTCAGACCAGAACCCAGTGCCACGCCCTAAACCCTAAACCCTAAATCCCTCAACCCTAAAACCCTAATTCCTAAACCTTAAAACCCTAAACCCTAAACCGTGAGGAGTCTACATCCCCTTGGCCCGAGCGGCACTTTGCCACCTTTGGTTTGGCGTCAGCTCGGATGCCCCAAGAGGCCTCCACCTCGAGTTGATCCGGGCCCTGATCCTCTCTTTATAGGGGTAATGGAAAATAAAAAAGAAACTACAGGGATTACATAGGGGTTATATGAGGGTTATAGGGTATGTATTGAGGTTATAGGGGTATAGACCCCAATAATGGAGAATCCATGGAAAAGAAAATGGAAAATGAAATGGAAACTGGGTTATATAAATTTGTACCAACACGGTTGTGAAGGCTTCAGATTGACATGTTGACGGCCAGGAGTCTCCCGCATTGTCTCGACAGCTGTGCTTGTTGCCAGCATGGTTGTGGTAGCAAGGCCGCCTGGATTCGTGCATGCTTCTACATGCACTTCTCGGCACTTTCCTCATTTCTTGCCTGTCAGGGCACTGGATGGTGCTCTGGCCCTACCACTGGGCCTAACCAGCGCAGTTTGCACGACAGCGATAATGCTGCCTCACCTGAAATAAGTTCTGCTCCTTTCTCTCAATCTCGGAAGCCGGTGTGTTGTTTGAGTCGCAGATATTCAAAGCCTGCATGAGCACGCACAGGTCCAACATGATCCAGCGTGATTCATTGAGTGCATTCTAAGGTTTGTCTTTCCCGGCATGTGCGCAAGCAGCGTCCACAAGTCCATGTGGGGCAAGGCAGGGTGGCGTTGCTCAGTGGTTGTCTACTACATGTCTAGGAAACAATATGCAGCAAGCCACGAATCCTGTCTTGGATCTTTCAATCATGTATGTGCCGCCATCAAGACTTTCATAAGCGCGCACGCCTGTCGAAGTACCAGCGCACTTCAAATGCGAAGGTCCTGCCAGTGGCCTTCGCTGTTGCGGGGCTCTTCATCGGCACTGCGTCGACCGTAACGCTGCTGATCAGCTCCGGTATCCTGAAGTAGGGCAGATGTCAGGAGCAACTCTTTCAGGATTTGCTGTTAGAAGCTCAAGTTGCCGGTCATCGCCATCACAGTTAGTCCAGACACTGTAGCTTAACCCTTTCCAAAGGATGTGCAACTCTAGGGCCCGTCCTCGCATCGGGGATTTGATCTCGCGAGACGTCGGACTGACAAGTGGCGGCTGCGTGCATCGCGTGAGTACAACGGAGGAAAAGCGAACGGAATCTGATCCATCTATGTGGGGATTGTCCTAAATTACTGTCAATACGGGGTCCTATATTTAGGTTCCTAGTATAATACGGGGCCCTATATAAATTTCCCCCATTTTGGGAACAGCAATTTAGGGAAACTTCCATGTGGATGTGAATGTGTTGAGGGCTGGGGTTTGTTGTGGCTGTGATGCTCTTGGAGTCCCTTAATTGGTACTGGGTTACTGGTTATACGGGTTCTATGGGGGCTATATAAGGATAATGGAAAAGAAAATAGAAAGTACTACTTAGGGTTTAGGGTTTCCCAAAGTTATGGGTACCATTTTAAGATATTTCAGGGGTCCCCATAACGATATTAGGGTCCCCGTCTTTTGGGAAACTCCATATTCAGAAGTAACCTGGCTCTTACTGATTCGATGACGTTGCCTGCAGGTCATTTGGCGAGAGGGACGCCTGAAGAACGGATTTGAGCGTCCGGCCTTGAACCCCAGTATGAATGTAGTATATTATATTATACTATACTATATTATGGTATAATATACTGTATTGCACTATATTATACTATATTATACTAGATTGTATTTCATAATCGGATGTTTTATTCTACTATATTCTACAATATTATAGGAAACAAATCTGAATATTCAATCCCCGTACACCCCTTGATAGGCCGTTGTATTTATTCAGGCACAGATGATTGTGGCGACCCCAACATAGACCCCAAAACAGTACAACCCCTAAAAAAGAACCACTAATTTTGGGAAACCCCCGCTTGCAGCCGAAGTGTTTGGATGAGGTCGTGATTCATCGTGCGATTCTGGGCTCTGTGGAACGAATGCAGTGGCCTATGCACAATAGACTGCACATGAGCTGTAGTCTGAAACCTTAAAAAAACGGTTATATAGGGGATTCTATAGCGGCGTGTTTCATTAAGGGGGATATTAGGAGTTCAGACTGTAGCTCACATGAGAGCTTCCAAAAGTCGGAGTCGCCATAGTAAGGAGTATAGTATATGAGTGTGCGTAGTGTTGTGGCCCCTTATTTATGGAAAGCCCCCAACAATGTCGCTTACAAGACAGCCCTAAACGCAGCACTCGTGCGTCTCAAGGTCTGCGATTCTCATGGAACACTATGCCCAAATCTCGGCCACGTTTCCGCTAAGTCTTGCAAAGGCATGCTGCGAGGCACTGATTTGGGGTTATATAGGGCTTATATAGGAGTTACATAGGGATAATGGAAGAGAAAATGGAAGCTACTATTTAGGTTTAGGGTATAGGGTTTCCCAAAATTAGGGTTACTCTTTCTGGGGGTACCTTCAATAAGGACTACAGTATTTTGGGGATCTACATCGTGGCCCCCCTATTTGGGGAAACCACCGCCAAGGCTGGCAAATGGCCATTCTGGCTCTCTCCTCGACAGGTGCGCCGAGACGGAGTTCGCTGCTGTTGCTGTTTTTACTCTGAACTTGCCAAGGGTGCCCTGGGGAAACTACTGGGGGTCAGTAAGGAAAAGGGGGGGATATATACATATATATATAAATATAGATACATATATAGATATATATATATAGGTAGAGGGATTATTTAGTCATTATACAGCAACTAGGTTGATAGCAGCTGCAGATTCCTCCTGTTGCCAACTACAGCTTGCCTCCCGATTGATATTCGCCCTCTCTTTGACATCATAGGCAATTACAACATGCATTAAGAAGCCCATCTATATTCCAAACAGCAGGACTTCCTTTCGGGTGATTACTTGCGATGTAAAATCCGCCAGCTCAAGAGCCAGGTGCAGGTTGTTCCCGTCGGGACGCAGTTCAACGAGTATGCCCAGTGGGCGCCTGTCCCAGTCTGGCCAAAGGAGTGTCCTGCCTATGTTGTCAATAATGCTCCTTGTGCTGTCAAATGCACGAGAGGCTGAAGCTCCTGAGCTACACCCGTACCTTTTCTTTTGTCGCAACTCTTCACTTGGCACGTGAGGTGGAGAGGCAGCTACAGATCCACGGGTTCTACGCAGAGGATCCACTGATTCCATGCAATGTATTGCATGGAGTCCATGTGGCATCTAGCTTCCAGCCCGACTTCTCGCAGGCGGAGACGAGCGGAAAGACGCTGAATAAGAAGGCAATGGCCGAATGCTTGTAGAGCGCGCTGTAAAAGACATGTGCTCATCCCTGGCTACCAAGTCATCTCTGTTTCCAGGTGCGTGAGGCGCAACTCGCCCAGTGGAATTATGCGGTGCACCAAGCCCTGCATGGCCAGACACGGACTTTCAAACGGATTTCTCACTTCCGCCTACGATGTCCATGTTTGTCGGGGTGCGGGGTTAGTGACTAGTGCAACATTCACATCAGCATGCCAGCAGCCCTAGAAGTGATGAAAAATATGTAACAATACACTGCAATATAGTATAGAGTATAGATTTGTGAGCAAGCCATCGTTTCACGAGGTAGCGGTTGTTGGCGCCGAAGAGCAGAATGCACTGTCAGTGAACCTGAGGCCCAGGGTGTGAGTTGGTACAGTAAGCCACGGGCGGGGGAGGGGGGGGGGGCGGGTGGGTGGTTTTAGTCTTCAAGGGAAGGGGGTTATCATGTTGGGTCGATTGAATTAGTGAATGATAGAGCTACAAGCATCCCCACAACTCCTACCATAAGTGTCCGTAAAAGCTATGAGGCGGCGCCTGGGCTACATGACGATCTTGCGTCACATGTTTACCTGAGGCTCAAAGCACGCTTTGCTTCAAAACAAGTTGACCGGCTTAGTTGCCAGACAAGGCACAGACAAGTTAGAGCTACAAGAAACGCACAGGCCAAGGGAGAGTAGCATACTTGAACTGTCAGATTGCTTCTGCTCCACCAGGCTATCTCCCAGCGTGGTCATGATTCATGTTTCCCTCGTTTCTGGGCAAGAGATTGCCTGCTTCAATGCTGATGACCTCAAATCCTTTGCAGCATCAGGCAACAGTCTCAGAGCTTTCAAGCAGCGCCTTCAATCACTGGTTCATACATCACCCTTTTGCCAAGAGCTTCTTTGTGAAGGGGAGGTTCTGAATGAGGCTGATGCAATTCCGGACCCTGCAGTCACAGGGCATGTGCATGTACAGCTGGTCCTCCTCCAAACTTGCAGCGCGTACTCAGAAGAGTTGGTGTCGGCCACTGCTCAAGACGATGATGCGACAGTGGGCGTGTTGCTTAGAAGGCGCCAAGATCCAGATGAAGCGGATGCCTGTGGAAGGACAGCTCTCTACCTTGCTGCGCAAAATGGAAATGTGCAGATAACAAAGCTGCTTCTGGAAGCTGCTGCGGATGTCAACAAATCCATCAAAGATACGGGCGAAACCCCACCACTACTGGCTGCTGCACAAAGAGGCCACCTGGAAGCTACTGGCTTGCTGATTGACGCAGGCGCCGACAAAGAGAAGCCGAACGTTTGGGGAACGTCACCCCTCCTCGCTGCTTGCGAGAAAGGCTACTTGGAAATGGTTCGCTTGTTGATCGACTCAGGTGCCCAAAAAGACAAAGCCGAAACTGGGAGGTTGTTTAGGAATTATCGTCCCCCTTAAGTAGATACAATATGGCTTTGGGGATATTTTATTAAGATCCTCATATTTCCCATGTTCTATCTACTTAAGGGGGACTATAAAATAAGCAACCACAACATGCATAATAGAGAGCAATTTCATCGTAAATAGTCGGCTTCTCCTTATTGCGGTAGCTTACTTTTAGTCCCTGAACCCTAAACCCTAAACCCTAAACCCTAAACCCTAACCCAGGACATGTACGGCACATCACCTTGCTCAACTGCGGCGGCCGAGGGACATCTGGATGTGCTTGAATTCTTGATTCAGCGTGGCGCCGACATCAACAAGGACTACTGCACTGACTTGCACTATAACATACCACATTTGCCCATGATATACCATACTATACTATACTATACTAGATTATAGTATACTATAAAATACCATAACATATTACATTTTTTCAAATCACAAGACTCGGGAGAACAAGGGGGAGGCTGTCGAAAAGACTGGGAGTTGCCATCTAGTCGTCCATTCAGCCCGTTCACTCAGTGAGCGAGTAGAGAACTTTCGTTGAGAACGGGATAAGGAAGAGCTGTACAAGTAGTGATAACCAATGATAAGTCTGCCATTTATAAGTGTAACTTGATACCCCGGGTTTCATGTGCTGATGATGGGCATGAGTGCACGGCGATGATAGCAGGTTGTACAAAACTCGGCAAAAATAATTCCTGTGGCTTACGCGTACAACGAAGCTTGTTGAGATGTGGCCTGACACCAAGGCAAATTATTGGGAGGCGATTCCTCTTCAGCTTGCTGCTGAAAGAGGGCATTGTGATGTTGTAGCCAAGTTGGTCCAAGCGGGATCCAGCATTGATCAAGCTGATCAACACGGAAGGTCTGCTTTGTTCTATGCCTGTGAGGGCGGGCACCTGGACGTGGCGCAACTGCTCGTCAGTGCAGGTGCAGACAAGGACAAGACGAGCAACAGCGGGCTCTCGCCACTTTCTGCAGCTTCAGAGGAAGGTGGGAGTTTCCCAACATGTTCCATCCTTTTCGATGGTAGCTGTAAAGTACATTCTAGCATATAGGAAGGTGAAAGGGGGGCCTTTGATGAATGTCCAGGTCACCTGGAAGTTGTACGTTTTCTCATCCAGGCCGGGGCCGATAAGGAGAAGGCCAAGATTCGAGCCCGCCATCTCTATTGGCTGCTGATGGGCAAAGCTGGGTGAAGAATTGAAAAAGTGATCAAACGCTGCGCGCTGATGTTCTGAAGTATCTGGCATGAGGGTTGGCAGCAATGCTTTGGCTGCAGGCATGACTTGTAACGAGACGTGACATTCCGAACGTGACAGGTCGAGGGAGTCTGAGAAGCCGCTCGGAGCATTCTCGATGATTGCCAGCTGCTGAGTGTCGAATGGCAGCTTATATAAAAATGAGCAACTTGATCCGACGATGCTAAGGATTTCATTGCAAAGCTAGACAAAGAGCCGGTGGCTAAGTGCCATCTGAGTGAACGGATCAAGTCCGAAGTGCAAAGAAAAGGACAAAATATAAGAACAAGAGCAGCAATAAATTCATTATTGGAACAGACAGAAGTGCAATACCAGTAACAAATAGTAATAGCAATAGCAATAATAACAATATCAATGATAGCAATAGTAATGCAAGATAGTAATGACAAGATGGTTTCTGTGGAAGATGGACTTGGAATTGAGGGCTATGCCAAGCTCTCAGCCTCTTCGTCAATTCGAGGCAGGCTCAGTGCGTTGTTCTTACTACTGTTGATACGAAAAATCCTGCATGACCTTAATAGCATAGTTCCCAAGGTATAAGGTACTTAGGGTCATGCAGGATTTTTAGCATCCACCGTATTATTGTTAGTACGTTTAGGGTTTAGGGCTTAGGTAATATGATTGCTGTTAGGATGATGATGATGATGATGATGAGTAGTGCTAGCACTGTGAGTATTCTTATCATTGGTATCCTTGTAGCGAATATCATTGTTATCAATCCTTATTGTTCTTGATGTCATTGTTATTCTTCGTATTCTTATTAGGATTATATCCTTGTCAGTGAGACATTAGGGTTCCTAAGGTCGTACCCCCAAGGTTGTACCCCTAAAAGGCTTCCCCAATATGAGTTACAATCCAAACTCCTTCAAGGGGGATTATATGGGAGATTATATAGGGGACTACGATAGGAGATATCTAGGGGGATACTAGCAGTTTAGATTATGGCTCATATGGCCCTAATATATCCATTATATAAGCCAGTGTAGTGTCCTAGGGTCCTTTTGAAGGATCCCAAACCATAAACCCTGAAACCTTAATCCTAAAACCCTTAACCCTAAACCCTTAGAAACAAAAACCTAGAACAAGTTCAGCCCAGCAAACTGCGTCAGGCTTTCCAGGGCCGCCTGCCGGAAGCAAAGACGCCGTGGCCCATGCCATGTTCGGTTTCCTCGGGCTTAGGGCTTAGGGTTATATAGGGGATAAACAGGGGTGTGTAGGGGTATACAGGGGCGCTGTTAAAGTCATTCATCATGAAAGGAAGTCAGGGCCCAGGAGTCAGGAAATAGAAAGACGAGAGGCAGGAAACATCCATGGAAGGAGTCAGGAAACATAAAGGAGGGAGTCGGGAACCATGGAAACATGTTCTTATTCGATCATGCAAAATAGGATGTAAATTTACATGATGTTTTGCACAGAAACTACATCCCTAAAGCTCACAAACCATGCATGCTGAATCCTAGACCCTACGTAAACGCTAAACCCTAGAACCCTGATGCCCTTAAGCCTGAAACCCTCAGACCAAAAGCTCTCAATCAGTGGAAACTAAAATCACCGCATGAGAAACTACAATCGGTTTGGGTGGGTGGGGGGGTGGGGGCTAATCTCGTTTTAGGTCTAAGTATTAAGGATTCAGCAGGGTAAGATTCATTGGGGCCTCCTCCAGGATAAAGCGGACACCCCGCCCAGTAATAGTGATTGTAGGGGACAATGCGCAATACATTAGGGTCCTACTATATTCGTATACCACTTTTACAGGGTGGGGGGTCCTCTTAAGTCATAAAGGTTTAGGGATTCGGGTCTAGGGATTAAGACTCCCAAGGGGCAAAATCCTCCAACATCCTCCAACAGTTACGACCGTACAGAAGTTCAAAGTGCTGTACCAATATAGATGGACAGGAGTTGGGACAGCTTGAAAACCAGGGAGCAGGGTTCAAGGTTTGGGGTTTAGCTTTTGGGGGTCCAGGCCCTAGGGTCTACGGAGTATGTGTTGCACCACCTTACAGCCAAACGCACACGTTGAGATGGTAGTGCAACAGCGAAAAGGTCTTCTCGACAGTGACCTTATCTTGGGGAGTGCCCCCACATGGACAGTCCACCAGCACGATATTTGGGCAGGAAACATCATGTGAATTTACATGATGTTTCGTTTCATATTTCCCGACTGTCGCCTCCTGTCCTTCACGACTCCACCCCCTTTTTCCCGACTCTGACCCTCCTTATTCCGACTTTTGGTTCCCGACTCTGCCAACACCCGAGTATACAGGGTTGTGGGGGATATATGTGGATATTGGAACAGAAAATGGAAGCTACTGTTTGAGGGCTTAGGGTCTTCCGAAATTCTGGGTCCCTTTCTGGGGGTCCTTGACAAACATGCTCGGACGTGCATGACTCCAGAACCCTTCCATGCGAAGGGTCAGAGGGGTAGAGAGATTTTCGAAGTTCAGAGGGCAAACGCCGGAAGCTATTGCAGACGCCCTCGCATGGTTGTCAACAACAACAGCAACTGCCACAACAGCAACAACAGCAACAGCAGCAGCAGCAGCAGCAGCTCATCGTGGTCAGCATCACTGTTGCCCAGCAAAATCATCACCGTACAGCTATCTAGGCTGCCCAGGAATATTGACTGAATCGTGCCATCACTCGTCCGATCTGCCCGGATGAAATCCCACAGAATTCCACCCATGCCAGGGTTGCGGAAGCCCCTGCCGTGAATGGCAGGGCCAAAGAGCAGAGGCACAGGGCTCTTGTACAGGGAGTATGCTCTCAGGCATCATTCTGGGCTCTGAAACAGTAGCTTCCATGTTGTTCTCCATTGATCCTTAAATGATTTCTAGTCAAGACTCCTTCAAGGGGGAGAATATAGGGGAGTTTATAGGGGAGCTTTAGAGGGCTTATTAAGGGGGATACTCGAAGTTTAGAGTATGGTACATATATCCCCTATACACTCCTATAGATTCCATGCTGTCGCTAGAAAAAATGTGATGCTTCGACAAAGCGCTAGCTTGGGAGTCTCCTCATGCCTCCTCCTTTTCTGGATACTCTGCTCGGTTGCTTTTCAGGAACTGCTTGTAAATTACTACAAGAAGTAAACCCCATTATTTACTGTTTACCCACAATATGGTAACCCTAAACCCGAAATCCCATATACCCATATTACGGTGACTTAAGCCCTATATCCTATACACCTTTATTTTGGTAACTTAGATCCCTAAACCCTAAACCCCTAAACCTTGTTCCACAGCAGCAACCCAGTCTGCGAGGCCAGCCTTCCAAAAGCAGGGCTCCCTGCAGGTGCGCAAGCTTGTCGCTTGGCACCAACTGAGTAGCATTTTATTTGGGGATACTATTAGGGGTTATATAGGGGTATAATATTGGGGTTATAGTGGAAAAGAAAATGGAAACTACTATTTAGGGATTAGGGTTTAGTGTTTAAGTAGTATTTTATTTGGGGATACTATGGTACCCAATATTACCCCAATAATGGAGAATCAAATGGAAAAGAAAATGGAAAATGAAATGGAGACTGGGATTATATAGGGGTTATTTGTGTAGCATTTTAGTTGGGGATACCATGGTACCCATTATAGAGTAAGATTATATCCTCCTTTTGAGGTATAGTATTTTGTATAAGGGATATAATCTTACTAGGTTTAACCACCAAAAAAAACGCTATTCAACTAGGCCCCAGCTTTCCAACCATGTGAGCTATAGTGTTTAGGGCTGGAGGGAGATTGCCCCAATAATGGAGAATCAAATGGAAAAGAAAATGGACAATGAAATGGAAAGTGCTATATAGGTTGATGTAATGTTTATATGAGCTATAGTCTAACCTCCTTAGAGGGGGCTATATGGTGGATTATGTAGGGGAGTGTTATAGGGGGTGTTAAGGGGTATACTAGGAGTTTGGACTATAGCTCAACTAGTGATTTCGAGGGTTTTCGAAAAGTAGGGCTACCTTTTTGTGGTCCCCATAATAGTGAGTATAGTATTTTGGCGACTATGTCTATATTGGGGTCCCCACTATCTTAAGTAGGGGTACCTCAACATAGGCCCCAAATACTATAGTCGTTATGGCTACCGTCGTCAGTAATGACCGCAGAGATTTTCAATGTTGTTGAGGATTGAAGGATTTCCGTGTCCAAACCATCAAAGCGTTCATGCTAGATGAGCATGCTGTCACCAGCGCATCCATGCCCAAACCACAACAACGTCCGTGTTCTCATTGCATT